CCAGCTCTCCTTCTCCATCCGGGCGGCCGAGGAGGTGGCGCGGGCCTTCACGGAGGAGCAGGACCTGCAGCTCTGCGTGGGGGGCTGCCCCCGCAGCCAGCGCCTCTCCCGCAACCACTGCTGCCGTGGCCGCGCCGCCGCCGAGAGGGCCCGGGCGCTCTGCAAGGAGACGCTGCCCGTGGAGGACGTCTACTTCCAGTCCTGCGTCTTTGACGTGGTCACCTCAGGGGACGCCAACTTCACCATGGCGGCTCACGGGGCCCTGGAGGACGCCCGGGTCTTCCTCCCCGACGTGGAGAAGCTGCATATCTTCCAGGCCGGAGCGGGCTGCGCTCTTGTCTCTGCTCCCTTCCTCCTCCTCCTCCTCCTCACCTCTGCTCTTTGGGCTGTTCTGGGACACTTTTAAGCCCTCGCTGGACTTGCACGCAGCAAGGGGACGCATCCATCCAGCCCAGGGGTAACCTGAGCGAGCTCCTGACCCCAGAGAGACGCCTCGGGCAGGATCAAGTGTCCCTGCAGCAAGAAGAACCCGGAGACCCAAACCTTTGGAGAGGGGACACTGGAGAGTGGGAGTTCCCATCCCTGGAGGGGTTCAAGAAGCACCTGGATGTGGCACTTGGGGCCATGGTTTGGTGGCCATGGAGGGGATGAGTTGACATTGGACTGGGTGATCTCGGAGGGCTCTTCCAACCTTAATGATTCGCTGCTTCTGAGATGACAGACGGCAAAACGCTGGTTTGCATCCACAGTTCATGCACGTACGGCACCGATTGGACCTGGTTCCTCTCCCAAATGCAGATCCCAAGTTTTTCTATTGGATTCTGATGCATTTTTTCCTACAGATGAGGACATTGCAGCCGTATCAAAGAAAAGAAACAGAGGGGGTGAAGACACACTTGGAAAACCCTCAAAGCCCACAAACCTGCTTTACATCTTTATTCTGGTGTTACTACAGCAGACTTCTGCTCAGGAACCTCCCGGATTCAGAAATAACGGCCTCAAAGTCCAAATCCCAATTATTAGCAGTCAAAAAACGCTGTTTGGTGGATTTGAGGCCCCTTGACCCAGCTGCTACCAAAGCAACGCGAGAGCAGAACAAGGTGATACGTTGGTTATCAGAGCGTTGTGACCAAGGTTTGAGATTTTGGGGCTAGAAATCAACCGCTCTGGGCTGTACTCTCCTCTCTCTGGATTTCAATGCGCTGATTTCCAGCGCCGGGAGCTGCAGAGCCTCAGGTCTGACATTTCTGGCTACTGTTGCTATTTTTCTCTGTTGTTTTGGCACTCAGTGGAGCCCGTTCTGGACTTTGGACCAGCGCTGAGTTTCAGTGGGGAAAAATACCCCTTGGTATTCCTCTCGCTGGGGCACAAAAATACCCAATTTTTCTGTCACTGCCACAACCCCCTTCAAATCCAACCCAGACTGGGGCTTTCGCTCGCAAAGGAGAATTAACGCTGGCAAAAAGCCACACGACTGCACCGACGGGCAGGGGAACTGCTGGCAGGTGTACATAAATACAGAGGGGAGGTCAAATTTAATATATTTAAGAGGTTTTAAGTGAAGCAGATAGAGTTCTATGTGATAAGGAATATTTTCAATGTGCAAATACTTTTTTTTTTTTTTTTAATAAAGAGGGCTCACGGTAAAACCTTCGTCCCAGGGAGCTGCAAGGAGTGGAGGCAGAGACGGAGCTGGCAGAGATTTGGGCGAAGAGAACTGCAGATCCTATGGGCACGGGGGGTCTGTCGAGCCATAGAGTTTCACAATTCACATTTCACTGTATCTGCATTTCTTCGGTCAGGTTTTTTTCCGCCAAGGGCACAAACAGTAAAGACAGAAACATTTCTGAGATATCGCAGCACTTCTCCTCCTCTGACGTGTGCTCAGAGCGCACAACAAGGAGCGTGAGAGTTTCTCCTGTGGTGCTCTCGCTAATCCCTGGACGTTTTGACATTAAAGGTGTCTATTTTTGAAGCCATCGTTTCCTGTCATCTGTCTCTCTATGTCTTTGGTCGGCAGCAGCAGGTGTAGATAATAATATCTCGCCTTCCACCCACTGCTCCTTTTACTCCAGAGCACTTTGGGGTCTATATTTACATGTGCTGAGCAGAAGCAGCCCTGGTTGCTGCTGCGCTCCTCTGCTTTGCAGGAGACCACAGGGACCAATGGAGCAACGTGCTCCAAACCCCCCTGCAGCCCTGGATGTGCTGCACGGTTGATAGCGCTGGGGATCCTCATCGAGACGGGGTTGGCTTCATCCAGCGACAAAAGGTGGCTGTGTCCACAGTGTGAAACAGCAGCGCTTGAACAGCTCACAGCAGTGCCACACATCCGCCAAAAACAGCATCATGGTCAGATTTTATCAGAGAATCACAGCATCTGAGTGGTTCGGGTGGAAGACCCCCAGCCCAACCCCCACGGGCAGGGACACCTCCCCCAGCCCAGGCTGCTCCAAGCCCCGGCCAACCTGGCCTTGGGCACTGCCAGGGAGGGGGCACCCACAGCTTCTCTGGGCAACCTGGGCCAGGGCCTCACCCCCTCCCAGGGAGGGATTTGTGCCCAATATCCACTCTAAATCTGCCCTCTTCCAGTTTAAAACCATCACCCCTGGTCCTATTGCTCCATGCCCCAGTGAACAGCTCTTCCCCAGCTTTCTTACAGCCCAACCCTGCAGTGAGCAGGGACATCTTGAACCAGGTCAGGTTGCTCACAGCCCCATCAAGCCTGGCCTTGAATATCTCCAGGGATGGGGCCTGCACCACCTCTGGGCAACCTGGGCCAGTGCTCGACCACCTCATGGGGAAGAGCTTTTTCCTCAATCCAACCTAAATCTGCCCTTTTCTGGTTTAAAACCATCACCCCTTGTCCAATCATTCCATCCCTTGTCAGAAATCCCTCCTCAGCTTTCCTGTCCTGGCAGGTGCTCTAAGGTCCCCCTGCA